CAAGAGCAGATCCAACTATGTTTAAACTGTGTTTTTGCATTTTGTCTAAAAGAGAAAGAGCATCATTGAACAGGGTGTCCACTCAAATCCAGTATTTATTCCATCATATAGACATGTTTTTCCAGGATTTTGGCCTTGATAACCATATCTTTGATATTCCATATCATAGCATTAAAAAAAATAACTTAATAAGTTTTATACTAGGGCTGTACCGGATTTAATTTTTTCAAATCCGGCCGAAGCCGGATTTGCCGGATTTCTACTGACAGATCTGGCCGGAATCGGAGCCGGAACCGGATTTCAAAACAAAACTACAGGAGCCAAAATCCTGTACATCCCTATTTCTATATATAAATTAATAAAAATTCTAAAGAAATTCTATAGGCCATATGTTTTTAAAGTTTATAGTAATTCTTTGTCACTCCGCCACTGTAGTGGATCATTGTGTCTATTTATTTCTGGTTCTTTCGGATATTTCCTTAGCTGAGTTTCAATGCCTTTTAGTAATTGTTGTTTATGTGCCCTGCCACCAGCGGACGTAGACTAAATAATTTTATCAATAAATTGCCAGAGTAATGATGATGTAGAAAAATTATTAAGCCCGGCTTATTTTGGTGGGTTTTCTTCATTTTTGTCAATCTTCTGTTCAGCATGCTCAGATTGACTTCAATCTTGTTTTTTCAGCTGTCAGCGTTGCCTGTAATGAGGAGAATTTAGTTTTAAATTCTACAATGATGCAGGCATAAAGACTATGATGTCAACCCTAATCAAGTGATTGGATGAGCGTTTTAAAAGCATTGAAAAGAGAAACCTCTTTATATACTGACGAGGCTGGTGAGTCAACCAGCCTCGTCAGTATATAAAGAGGTTTCTCTTTTCAATGCTTTTAAAACGCTCATCCAATCACTTGATTAGGGTTGACATCATAGTCTTTATACCTGCATCATTGTAGAATATCGTGTGTCTTCCCTTCAGAATTTTTTGTTACGTTGTTGTTTGAAATTAGACTAAGCTTATTAAATTATAAAGAAAAATAAATACAAATACCAAAACAAATATGAGGTTTATAAAATATAGAATTACAAAAAAAATTGATTTTTATAAATAAAATATTAGGTATACATGTAAACACGGGCAAAAAAAATGTAATAAATATTTGACAAAATTCAAAACTCCGGCTAAAATTATGCCGGATTTGCTAAATTTTTGCCGGAGCCGGATTTGGGCCGGATTTGTAAAAATGGCCGGATTTTGGCCAGTTGCAGGAGCCGGAGCCGAAATCCGGTACAGCCCTATTTTATACTAATAAAAAATTTTAATACTAATAAAAAATCTTAATACCAATAAAAAGGAAAAAAAAAAACAAACAAAATTTACTATTGGTTTTGAGTCTTTTAAAGTAATTTTAAATTAAATTTTCAATTCTTTTTAATGGTATATACCTACATTATCAAAAATGAGCTTTTAATTCACTCGCTATTAACACATAGCTACACTGTATCTTCTACTACTAATAATTTATAATAATATTTTTAATAATACAGCAGTTACTATATTATTATAATATATAACTATTTTTAAGCAAGTACAATGAAAGCACATTGGCGCTCACATTTTAAAATCATAACACAGATACTTTTAAATTCCATATATAAAAAAGGTCATGTAAAATCTGCAGATTATTTTTTATATCATGTCTTATATTGCATTATCTTTTTTATATAATGTCAATATTGGCATAAAGCATAAAAAAGCATAAAGCATGTAACTTACATAAGCATGTAAGTTTGCTATAGAGCCATTTTACAATAATAAATAAATCATTAAACAAATTATAATAGGAAAGATAATTTTTGGCTTCAAAATTTTATTAAAAGGGCATCTAAATGTCATTTAATATTATATTAAATATTTTCAAGATGTCATTCAATATGCAATATTATTTTGAAGCTAAAAATTATCTTTCCTATTATAATTTGTTTAATGAATTATTTATTATTGTAAAATGGCTCTATAGCAAACTTACTATAGCAAACTAACTTTAATTAGGCATAGTTAATCGTTTACTAAAGTACACCAAGGTATTTTAATATTAAATATAAAAGTTTTATATTTAATAATAAAATACCTTGGTGTACTGTAGCATAGGCTTTAGTAAACGATTAACTATGCCTAATTAAAGTTAGATTTTACTTTAAACATATTAAAAGAAATATACAGTCTGGTAGACTACATGTAGGCTACAGTCTACATGTAGATTGTAATCTACGGTGTAGATGTAACCTACAGTGTAGACTTTAGTCTACAGTATATACACTGTAGATTACAAGATTACAAGTATAACTTCTTTTAATGTGTTTAAAGTAAAAACTTTACTTATTAAGTAAGATAGAAGATAGCCTTAAGTAATTTAAAGCATAGTAATTGATTTTTACTAATATAACCCAATAACTATGCTATATTCTACAAATTACTATTTTAGTATACAAATATATTTACAAAATACAAATACTTTAAAAGTGTACTAAAATATTGCTGCCTAACCTTTTCCATGATTCACTTGTATAACATAAACTTCGCCTGCCTTAGGATTGTTGAGAGTAGTTGGTCTATCTTCATTAATGCTCTTCGCAATAAGACTTGCAATAACCTCTATCTTAAGATGATTTAAACAACCTGTCAAAACTGGAACAGTCATTTCTTTTTTAAACAAATTTAGCAATGTGTTTGGTTAGGTTGAATTTGTTTGCAGAAATCAAACTATAAATGTGCCGCGTTACTTGAATGATCCGCCCCGCTGATCCGCCCCGCCCCGCCGATTGTACCTACTCAGTTTGCGTAAGGTATAATTATGCCAGTTATAAAATTTCCAAATGCGCGAAATTTAAAGAGGTTTTTAAAAGAACACAAATATCGAAACGATTAAAAATGGATGTGTCAATGAAAAGGTAGTTTTAAAAAGTTATTTAGGGTTTCCATAAGTTAAGTTAACAAAGTATGAATGATTAAAAAAAAAAGACTAAATAGTAAAATCGAATTGTTCACTAAATATTACAATAATTATTATTGTGAATAAATATTAATATATAAAAAATAAAAAAATATAAAAAATAAAAAAATATTAATTTTTTTTAAATACTTTAACTTTTTTGTATTATTATTGAATAATAATACAAAAAGTTAAAGTATTTAAAAAAAATTAATATTTTTTTAAATTATAAGTCTATATATATTGGCTAATCATTGATAAGCCTATATATAGGTTCATCATTGATAAGCCTTTATCAGTTATAATTATCAACGATATATATTAACTTATCAAAGTCTATATATATAAAGGCTTTTTATTGATAAGCCTATATGTATGGGCTTATTGTATATACAAACTTATTATTTAGTTCAGATTTATCAGATTATAATGACTTAACTGATATTTCAAATGATGAAGCAGAAGATTCTTTAAATGTGCAAGGGTATTTGATTAATTTTTTATGATTTATTTTGATTTAAATTATGTAAAAATATTAAAGTATTTGGTACCAAATGCATGTTTTTTAAGTTAATAAAACAATTATTAGTTTTCGAAAAAAATACAACACACATTTGCAATTCTATTTAGGAAGCTTCAAAATGTCTTGTTTTAGATAATGAACAAAACAACATATTAGGTTTGCAAGGTTTTTGTTTATTTTTGTTATGAGTCAATTTGTCATAGTTATACTGAAATTTTGATTGAATAAAAAGATTTAAACTCTAAAAATACATTTACATTTGTGATTCTGTGGAAGAAGCTGATCTATGTCTTCAAAATTATGAGATATATAATTCTGTTCGGTTTGCTGCCTTTTCAACCCCAAAGAACTTTGGTAATACAGGTATTAGAATCAGTATATTCGGTTTGATTTTGAAGTCTTCTAATCATCATCTCCAATCAACTTGACTGTTTTATACATTTTACACACATGGCTAGTTTTCCTTTTATTTGATAGAAATAAAGTTTTATTCCTTTTTTCCACTTCATTGTGAGCTTTATTTCTATTACAATAAATATAAGTACATACTATTCAAAACAGATTTTATAAGTTAAATATTTATTTAGATATGCATGCTGATAAGCACAAAGTATTGTGGGAAATGTCCTCAGACTTTCATAACACTCCTTTTATTATTCTGTCAACAAAAAGATTTGACTGTCATCATGGCTTTGATAGAAATACTTGTAAAAAGCAGAAATATATAAAAGCAAAAGAAAATCAGGTAGCAATCTTAACAATCCAGTAGTATTAATATGTTCTAACTTTGCATTACTTTTTGTTTGTTTGAGCAGTGCTGGATAAAATGCTTTATAAAAGTTTTTAAAATAAAAATATTTAAAAAGTATTTAAATTAAATATAATTTTAAAAAGTATTTGAAGTACTAAATACTTTACCAAAACTTACAACTATGGCCTTTTTCAAAATTTATTTGATAAATGTGAAATAATTTAATAATCACTCTAATTAAACCAAGGTAGACAGTAAGAGTTATAAAACAAAAAATAAATCAAAATAAATAGTGGCAGAGTGAAACATTGACAAACAATTAGTTAAATATGCATGTGCATTGTGGATGTTTAAAGAAGTATTTGAATTACAGGTAATTGCAATGAGTACAAAATACTAATCAAAAGTATTTTAAGTCAAAATGCTAAATACTTTCTACAAAAGTATTTAAAATACACATACAAAGAAATACTTAAAATAGTATTTTAAATACTTAATATTTCAAATATTCCCAGTGCTCTATTTGACATTATATTACTCTGCCTAATAGTATATTGATTTACTTTAATATTTTATTTTTTCAGTTAGTTCCATTCCCTATTAGAATTTCAGTATGTTACTAATATAGTTAGTTTAATTGCAAATTAGTGTTGCATTAATTTCTTCATTTAATATTATTTTTTTCATTAAAAATATTTCCTGTACATCTCATACAATATATTTTATATACCTATGTTATGTTTAATGAATGTTTTGAAGCAAATGTAGTTTATAAGACTAATCTTTCTGCTGAAGATTTGAATGATATTAAAACCAACCAGATGTTATCAGACACAGTGATCCATTCTGTCCAAAATATGATTAGTGGTGTTAGTGGCTTACAGGATCCAGTTTTTGGTCAAAGTTTATCATTTCATGCAATCAAAGAATCTTTTGTACAGGTTTTGCATGATGGTCATGTACATTGGCTAACAGTTAGTACTTTTGGGTGTTCTGATGGTGAGGTGTGCCTGTTAGACAGCATGTTTCATGGTAAAGTCAAAAATCATGTCATCAGGCAAATTTGTGCAATAATGCAGTGTACCAAGGACATTTTAACTGTACGAGTTTTACCTGTACAGCAACAAGCAAATAGTATAGATTGTGGCTTGTTTGCATTGGCATTTGCGAAGCACATTGCTTTTACTGGTTTGAATCCATGTTATATTGGATTTGAAGATGTTGATATGCGAAAGCATTTACTTCAAAGTATTTCGGGAAACCACCTAAATGAATTTCCGAAAACTTCAAAAAAAACAATGTTTTGTAAAGAAAAGAAATTTAAATTTAATCTATATTGCATTTGCAGACAAGTATGGACAGTTTCAGATAAATTTATAAAAGATAGGTTAGTGAATTATCTTTAATGGTATCGTAGCACTTATTGTGTCAATCATTTCTTATAATTATATTTTTATCTAGTCATCTTTATTATAGTTTTCATTAGTATATTTGTACGCAAAGCAACATTAAGTTTAGGCATATGGTACAGTGTGAAAAATGTGAATGCTGGTTTCATCGTGCATGTGAAAATATACCAGAATATGTGTTGGCGCATGAGAGTGCTGAATGGCTTTGTTTGAAGTGCTCAATAAATTTATAGTTTTAAATCATCAATAATTTGTTTGCATAATAATTTAATTTTTTTTTAGAATTTAGCAATTTAGAGTGTTACTATTTTGCAAGTTTACTGAGGTATTTCTTTAGTTGTTTAGAGTTAATTTTATTTCTTTTTTTGGGTGAATCTTAATAATTTTAATGTTTAGAGTTAATATTATTTAGTTGGTTAGGGTTAAAGTTATAGTTGTCTAGAGTTAATGTTATTTAGTTGATTAGAGTTAATGTTATTTAGTTGCCTAGAGTTAAGGTTATTTAGTTGATTAGAGTTAATATTATTTAGTTGCCTAGAGATAATGTTATTTAGTTGCTTAGAGTTAATGTTATTTAGTTGATTAGAGTTAATATTATTTAGTTGCCTAGAGTTAATGTTATTTAGTTGCCTAGAGTTAATGTTATTTAGTTGACTAGAGTTAAGGTTATTTAGTTGACTAGAGTTAAGGTTATTTAGTTGTCTCGAGTTAAGGTTGTTTAGTTGATTAGAGTTAATGTTAAATATTGTGTTGTTTAGAGTTAATGATGTTACTTTTAATTTATTATTTATGCTTTATTCTAATAATTTTTAAACTTTAAACTTGTTTTCTTACTAAACTTAGGACTTAAAATATAATGTTTAATGTTGTAAAGATGTTTTACATTTTTTATAGAGGTTTTTAAGGCAAATGTCACATTTGCAATTTTGATTGGTATATATGGTTTTTCTAAAGTTATATATGTGAAAAGGTAATTTTAGTATTTATTCCAATTTACATTATTATAAAACGTTGTCATTATTATTAACGTCTTTAAAAACATATATGACACCTTTTGGATCTTTAGTCATCCTCTACAACATGACAAAAGCCTTCGTAACATAGTTGTACGATGAACGGTATATTGTGTAAAAACCGTATGATCCATTAATTAGGCAATGTGAACACACACATCCTAAAGGTTGCTTTTGTTGTGTTTTTTTTGTTGTTGTTGTTGTTTTATTAGTTTATCTTACTCTTTAGATAGTGTTATAGCTATTTTTTGTTAATTTTGAACTGTTGTATCATTAAATACCTTTTAATTACCCTTAAATACATTTTCTTTTATATATGTTATACCCCGTTTAATTTGATAAGTTTGTTTATAAGGTAATAATTTATAAACTTCTCAATTTTTTAGTTAAAGATTTGATATTAAACATCTGAAAATAAAATGTGTTTTTTATTTAAAAAAAATACTAATAAAAAAGATATTTTTAAAATCAATTTTATTTACGTGTTTTGAAGGGTGGATTTTGAAACAAAAATTTAAAATAAAACATTACCTTCTACCAACTGAATGTATTAAATATAATTAAATAATACTAGCTTTATAAATTTTTTTAATAAAAAATAATTTTAGGCAAAGACCTATCCTAGCCAAATTTGATACCGATTTATCGGTTTTATTCATGGGCGCCCAAAGTTTTAGCTTAAACTCCAGCTCGAAGTATTTGTCATTTGTTTGCAAAGTGCAGTCTTCTACCATTTCTAGTAACATGTGGCCTTGCTATTTTTGGCCTTATTAATAACTCTGGTTTGAGCTGGATTTACCTATTGACAGATTAGGTTAATCCGGCCCATGGATTTTCCAAACTTGGACCTGACGATTTTAGGGGTTTGTTAAATAGGTTAAATTTTAAAAAGGAGAATTTTTTTTTAGTCTTTTAGTTTTTGCAACTTATAAATGATGCGGGCCTCAAATATTGATTCTAATTAAGGCCTAGGAGAATGTAAATCTGGAATTGATCCTTGGTGATATCAACAGACCAGCACATCAAGTTTACAATTAAACTCACATGGAGCGCTTTCAACTCTGAGAAAATATATTATATGGTCAGAGTAGGCATCAAACCTTGGAAAAAGTATTTTAAAACCTACCCTAGTTATTACATAACCTACTACATAGTCACAAGGATCATGGTTAGGGTATAGTTTTAAGTGATACTCGTTTTGTGTACAATATATTTTTACTGTCATTAAGGGGTGGCTTTTTCTTTAGTCATTATAGAGGTTTATAGCAAGTTCCATTTTATTTAAAATTTAAACTACCACATGCTTCAATTTATCTAGATTTAATAGGTTAAAATAAATATTTTCCGTTGTGTTACTTCAAGCCGTTTTAGAAACCTAAGCTTACTTGTCAATGCGTAGTTCAAGAACTACGATTTAAATTTGGCTTTTGGCACGCGTGACAGTAATTTTTAACACGGGAAAGCACCCAAATGCTATTTTAATTATAGTGCTCAGAGACAAGACCATTATGTCTTCCTGGAACTTCCGTTGAATATTTGTTTCAAATCATACTACTTAAATAAATAGCCTAATTTTTCAGGCGATGGAAAGTATTAAAAATTGAAACGATATGTCTTGTAGAATATTTGCATTTTTTAAAGTAAATATTTTGTTGATAAAAAAAATCTAAGCTTTGGAATATATTCCCAAGAGTTTTATAGATTTTATTTTATATTAATTTGAACACTAGCACTTGGATAGAAGAAATCTTGATACCTAGGTAAAACCACAACTACTGAATTCTAACCGCAAGCGGGCTGCGACTTTACAAACCCACTATAAGCACAGAATAGCCATCAAAACTGGCCAATCTGATTCGCTTATTTTGAAAGAGAGGCAAATCTGCAAAATTGGAATTTAAACTTTCGCGCAATAAAAAAAATAATAAACCTTGCTTAATAACAACAGCGGTAGTGATTCTAAAAAAAATGAATTCAACATTCCCTATTTTATTTAATTCAAAGTTAATTTTTGAAGATAAAAATGTTATTCAATTGCGAGCATCAATTAAATCAGAAGATGAAGCGAACCAATGGGTAGAAGAATATGGACATAAAACGCACACTAGATGGCTAAAGTCATACAAGCTGAATGAACCTACAAGGTTGGATCTTTAACCAATTTTATCTTTTACCACGAAATATGATACATATATTTAATATAAATATCATAGATATATATATTAAATATATATATTTATATATATATAAGGAAAAAAAAAATTAGATAAGTGTTTTTACTTATTTATTTTTACTCTGTTCTTTAACAACGTTGAGCTCTCTTGTAGAATACACTAACATAATTTATATATATTTAATATATATATATATATATATATATATATATATATATATATATATATATATATATATATATATATATATATATATATATATATATATATATATATATATTTAAACACGCACATACTACAAGTTGTATAAGGGTATTTATTCCTTGGTTACAGTTGAGCTAACTTTACGCTAAAATGTTGTCAGTTTAGCACACTTAATGACCATAAATTAAATTCAAGATCAAACAGTTGATAATGTTTATCTCAAAAAAAAATGTGCTTCTTGCATGGCAAATTTTATGTCCTGTGTTCAAGGTAGTTTAATAATAACATTGGCATATAATAAGTTTGTTAAAGCAATGTTTCCTTGTTACCTCAGAAAATAAACTTTTAAATATTTGTGGTTTTAAATAAAGTGATTTGGGGTTTATTTGAATAAAGTGATTTGGGGTTATTTGGCTTTCTTTAATACAAACAAGGTTTGATTAAAATAAATTGAAGCTATTTAAATAAAAAATTTTAAATATTTTTAGTTATATAAGGATTATGTATTTTGTATTAGTTTTTATTTTGTTTGCAAATTTAAATTTTTATATTTTTCTCCATTTTTATCATTTCATTCCTTAAGTTTTACCATCATCATCCCAAAATGGTGGTATTATTTTATAAGCATGTCTACTTTTTATTATTGTTGTTTCATTTCTTTAGATTTGCCTTGGTGTTCTAGCCTATATCACAAGTTTAGTTTGTTTAATGTTAAGATATTATCTTAATTTAGTAAATTTTTATGATTTGAAATTTAATTTATCGATCAATAGCTAACGGTTTAAGAAAAATTTAGGGTTAGCAACACATTAGGGTTAGAATAAATTTTTTTTTTTTGGTAACATTACGAAATGGGTATGTATTGTTGTTATTTGTATTATTATGTTATTGCTAGTTTTTGTATTTTCTTTTCTTTGTCTGTTAGGAACCCCCTTAGCTTCTTTACTAAGCTATTATATATTTTTTTCATATCACAATCAATAGTGAGTCAGGTCTTATAGGTCTTGAGGGCTAATAAATAATAATATAAGCATTAACTAACAGTAAGTGTATATATATCTTGCAAATGTATTTTATTTAGGCTTGTGGCACATAGAAAATATCAATGTCAACATTCAAAACTAAATAAAGAAATTAAATCAAGGAAAAACACATACTGTGTAGCTGAAATTGATATCAAAATCAAAAAAGTAAATGCAAATACTAAGAAAAATGATCAATATCTAAAAGAAGAACCTCCCCTTAGTGGAGTTATAGTAGTTCATAAAAACCATAACCTTAACATTGAATGTGCAGATTCGATGAAATACTTACCAGTGTCATCAGTTACAAAAAAACTTTTTTATAACTATTTTAACAGTGGATTAAGTCCAGCTCAAGCAAAACGTATACACACAGATAACTTTATTTATCATGAAAATGGCTCCTTTCTTTTGGCAGATGCCTCACTTAATCCTTTATCACGTACAATTTATTATTTATACAATTTATGGCAAGAAAAACATTTTGCTCTTAAAAATCCTTTAGAGATGTTAAAGAATAAAAGAAATGTATACTTAGAATCAGGTAAAAATGAGATTAACAACAATAATCAGTTTATTTTAAAATAATTTATTTAAATGATTTATTTTGAAAATAAGATTGATAAATGATAAATAAAAAACCTAGTTTATATTGAGAAGGTTTGCTGCCAAATTCTACTTTGAGTTGACATGTATTTTTATATATTACAAAAAAATATATAACAAAGTCAGATATGTGTAAGCTCGTTATATTTCAACCAATTTAAAGAAAATTTTGTGGGACATTTATTTAAGCTATTTCTCCTATATAATTAATGTAATATAATGAATAAAACTGAAAAAAAAGCAATAACAAAGTTCTTTTAACAGAAAAGTATTAAAAAACAGTTATTTTGTGCTAGAAGCACCTAAATAGATACATTTGCAAAAAGCCATAAAGACTAGATCAGGGAGGGGGCAACCAACCATATCTTTTTTATTATTATTAAATGACAAAATCAAGTTCACCCCTTCAATGTTAGCAGGCAGGTTAGAGGGGCATTGTTTTCCAATAAATTTTACATTTTAAATTTTTCTTACCTATATGAGTTAAATAATACATTTAACTCATATAGGTAAGAAAATAGGGTTATTAAAAAATGCTGCCATTTTGGTTGGGCATTTTGGAATATGAATAATATGTTTATAGACACATTTGAGTTCTTTTATGTAACAAGCTTTCTGTAATTTTCCCATGTATTGCTGATAGTAATAGCTAATCAGTAAAGTAACCTGTAAGACCTTGTTGGTTAATAGAAAAGTTCTTCAGCTAACTTCACTTATTCGCTATTTTTTATAATTTTTTTTATTTTTTGGTGTCCCACAGGCCACTGGCTAAAGTATAATGAACTGGCCCATATCGTTTTATCAATTGGTGGTTTATATCTTGCCAGATTTTTTGGCAGTTTTCAGTGTTTTTTAATTTAGGAACGTTGGTGACAGTTATTGAAGAAGATCTGAAATGGTCTGTACTAGTGGTCACTGAAGTGATGCAAAGGAATCAACTAAGAAAATCTTCTTCCGAAATTGTGTTTGTAGATACTACCTCATCTTGTGATATCTCACAAACAAATGTTACAATTGTGTCTACATCAAGTTCCGCAGGATGTATCCCTATTGCTATTCTATATCATGCTAATAAAACTGAAGAGAATTATGAGCAAGCATTCAAACTTCTTAAATTAGAATGCCCAAGATGTTTTGGAGGATCTGAGGTAATTTAAAGTTTTATAAGTATATTCTATGTATGCATATGTATAATATAATAATATAATATAATAGCCTAACTTTATCTTTTTTACTTTTATCTCTATACATGAAATGGTTAACATATATACCTTCTTTTATATAAACAATTTGATATCTTTGTATTACAAAGTCAGGAATTACCTTTTTCGGGTTATTTCTAAAATTCCGGATATTTTTCTCAAGTTTTAGTTTTTTTGGATTTCCAAAATGTTTTAATTTAAAGTATAAATTTTTGTAATATATTTGTTTATTAACTTTTGCAGTCATCACTCATACAAAAATTAAGAAAATCCATACAAAAATTAAGAAAAATTTCAGAAAAATGAAGAAACCCACCAGCTAAGATGAGACAACAAAAAATCCTGACAAACTTTGATATGTCTAACAATGTTTTATAATTTGATAACCTCACCTGTTATTATGCTTTCTAAATTAATAAGATTGATAACTCCGTTAGACAAGACATTCTTTTGTTAAATTTGTCTGGATTTAAAGTTGTCACACATTAAAAGCTAAGTTAAACGGAAAATTAGGAAAATATATACCGGATGTTTTATGCACTGTTTTCCGAGTTTTTAAAATATAACATGGATGATCACTTCAAAATCAAATGCAAGCTCTTTCCTAATTAACTAAACAGCAATTCCTAATTAACTAAGCAGCATTTCAATAACTCTTGAAAATATATTTTGGCTAAAGGTTTTCTGAACTTTATCAAAACACTGATCTACATAAGGGCTGAACTTTAAACATATAAAGATCTAGATAAGGTTTTAAACTTAAATGTTTATCACAATACCTAATTTAAATCGGAATTTCTATTAGTTAAATGTTTTACATTGTATTTTAACTATTTTTTTGTAGGAGCCCCAAGTTTTTATGCTGGATGACTCAAGTGAAGAAAAAAATGCACTAAGTTCTGTATGGCCAACAGCAACAATGTTATTATGTTATTTTCATGTATTACAAGCACAATGGCGTTGGTTGCTTAAAAAAGCTGCAAAAACTGATCGTCAAAAACTTTTTTTACCATTTGTTTAAAAATGTATTTAAGTTACATATAAAAATAGATTTATAACCACTTAATTATATAGTAATTCTTAATTCGTTTACTATTTTTTGAAATGAAAGTTATTTATATGGAATTTCAAGTGTAATTATCTACAAGTTTGTTTTCTAGATTATATATGCTGATACAAGCGAAAAACTTGACTTATCGTTGCACCAATTAAAAAGCATAAAATTAACGCACCCAAAGTTTTATATTAGGGTTAAAAAATACTATAACAAGAGAAAGTTTGAATTTGTCATGTTATATAGAAAAGACTTAATTATTCGAAACCACAATACAAATAATTTTAGTGAAGCAACAATAAGAATCCTTAAAGATATTGTTTTATGTAGAACAAAAGCATTCAATGTTGCAGCACTTGTAGACTATACTGTCAATGTTTGGGACAGATATTATAGCAACCGTCTTCTGAATACTGCATATAATCGTTGCTCTGCCTATGAAATATTCTACAACAAATTATGTCAAAAATCTGAAAAAATAAACATTAGTTCTATTAAATTGTTGGAGAGGAACACTTACATTGTACCTAGTTTTAAAAATTCAAATGTCGAATATACAGTCAATAGTGACGTTGGCTACTGTTCATGTCCTAGTGGTAGGCAAGGTGGATTCTGTAAACACATGGCTGCAATACATAAATTTTTTAAAATTAATTTTCCGTGCGCTCCACCTATTACATCGAAAGACAGATACGAACTTGGGAAGCTTGCACTTGGATCGAAGTGCCCTGAACCAGAATTTTTTTTAAGTTTGAGAGATATAGATTAAAGCGAAATTGAAATATCTTCTAATATTTTAGGTTTGTAATTGAATTGTAAAGGCAAATAAAGTAGTTGCATCGATATAAGCCCACTTTGTTTCATCTGAAAATATATTTGTTTATTAGAACACACATACACACACACACACGCACGCACGCACATAAGTATGTATGTATGTATGTATGTATGTATGTATGTAAAATTATTATTATTCGATACGGGTCTTTTTTGGTCCAACTACCTTGATATCTGCAATTAGTTTTAATTTTTTGTAATTTATATTGAATACATACATGATTTTATAATATAATAATTTTATAACATGGTTTACATTTATTAAATTAACAGTAAATTGTTATTTTCGCAGTTGAAACTCAAGAAAACTGTTTGATCTCTGGCGATGCAAATAACGAAGATATTTTGTCATTGACGTGTACTGAAAAAAAAAACCAATCGGAATCTTTAAATACAGATTGTGAAGAATTTATATTTGAATTTAAAAAGTTATTAGATCTAGCTAAAATCATTCCCAATTCTAAAAAAATTATTAATAGTTTAAAGCTTAGACTGAAAAGTGTCAATACCACCGAAAGCGCTTTAGCAACTCTGTTTTCATTAAAAACAGCATTATGCTCAAAAAGAAGATTCGGACAAATTAAAACGCAACCGACTGCTGCTGCGAGACGAAGAGAAGGTCTGACACGTGGTAGTAGACCAGTGCCGATGGGAAGACCAACTAAAGTTGAAGTTTTGAAACGGAAAAAAGTTAAGCGACAAAGAAATATCAGTCTAGCTGTTGAACAAAATGTTGCTAATGCTCAAAGTCATTAACGTATTTTTTTAGCAGTCTTAAAAGTATTGTTATATAATTTATATTTTATTCGAATATACTTGAGTATTTTTGCGCTAACCTTTTTGGAAAAATTTGACATGGTATTTCATTATTCTTTCACTGTAATTTAAGATAAACTCGTTTAATGATTCAATACGATACTGATTTAATCATACAAATAATAATGAAACTATACAAGACAATTATATTGCACATTTATATAAAATAATAACTCGGAATAATTGCTCGAACTTCTAAATACATCTTTAAATAAATATTTGTTTCGATCGCTTTGCTAACCTTCATGAAGTTAATAATAATTTTTATCAATTCGCTATACTTATTTGGCAACATATTACAAGCATTTCCCAGTTTTTTGAGGTGTAATGTTTTGCTTTGCATTGAAACAACTTTAACACATTTCCAATTTTTCTTTCTATTGATATAGATTGTTTAATATTAAAATTGAGCCTTTAAATTTTCATTTGATGGCTATTTACATTAAACATAAGTCGGAATATCACAAAAGATTTTGAATTGAAGTTTTCCTTCAACACAGTTAAGAAACCTCACCTGCCCCAATTATTAATCCTTATATTACTAGCACAGAGGAAACTGATGTGGCGTTTCAAGGCTTATTACTTTCAACAAAAGATTCTCTGAGCAGAGAAAATAAAATACAAAATTAAAATTATATTTTTATATTATTTAAATTTAGTATTAACATCTTATGTGTATATTTACGTTAATATTTATTTAGATGTTTTGATAAATGCAGTTTACAAATTAATTTTTTTTTTCAGTTATATGACTATTTTATTATGATACTGTTATATCAATGTAATATAAATGCAGCTAGAGTAAGGAGAAATAACACATACAAGCTGGTTAAAAGCATAAAAGCTAAATGTAAATCAAATCTACTGGGTACAGCAAACTCTTATGCATTGAACATTAACTAAGTTGTATATTTTGTAAGTTGTATCTAGTGTGCATTTTTATTTCGATACTCTTTCTAAGTGTTGATTAGCTTTCTCCTCTGATAAACAGTTTTATTATCATAAACTACTTCTGAATTAAATAAAATAGTAAGCAACGGAGTCCAGTTTTTAATAAATAAATACAAAATCTATTAACAATTTTAAATAAATAAACAAAAACTAATGAGCAAAAAGTAAACAAAATCGAACTATTTTTCTTTATTTTTATGTTTAACGCCGAATATTTTTCTTATATTCCAATTTTGCGGATTTGCCTCTCTTTCAAAATAAGCGAATCAGATTGGCCAATTTTAATGGCTATTCTGTGCTTATAGTGGGTTTGTAAAGTCGCAAGCGGGCTAGGCTAATTGATACACTTTGTTTAAAAAATTTAAAAAAAGGCATGTTAATTGGTATTACAATTTTATAGCTTGAGATTGATAGAAAAAGTTTTCATAATTGAGTCAAAGTTTCAATAAATTACAAAAAACTTGTATAACTGTTGTTGTTAATATATTGTAAGACAACTTTTAGTTTTATCCCATTGAGATCCCATTGAGCACCACAGATATGTGGTAGTTGAAGGAATCCCATTGAGATATGTGGTAGTTGAAGGAATCCCATTGAACACCATAGATATGTGGTAGTTGAAGGAATCCCATTGAGCACCATAGATATGTGGTAGTTGAAGGAATCCCAGTGAGATATGTGGTAGTAGAAAATCTATCCTGCGCTCTCTGAAAAATTTAGAAAACTCTCTTTGCATAACTGTTGTTATTAATATATTGCAAGACAAGTCATGTTTTTGCATTCTCAGTGCATTTTTTTATTTTGTTTAAAAGAATAACTGTTTTATAACAAGATTATTATTGCAGTATAATCTAGTAATTGGTCTAGATTGGTTAGTTCAATTCCGGCCTTAAAAAGTCAACTTCGACTGTGCTTATGCTGAAGAACTTTTTCTAAATAACCCAAGAACAAACAAAAAGGGATATGTAGTTTGATTCTTTTGAATTATTTCTATTTATTTCAAATAGCTAAAATAGCCAAAAAAATAAAGGAGCCAAAAATTGACTGTTAAAAAGGCGCATTTTTTTCATTATTGCCCAATGCGCAAAAATCCTTGCAAAGCCGAAGCTTAGGCAGGAAATAAGGAACCAACTCATTTAATCCTAATCTTATATATCTGGATAAGTCCATTTGGTTACTACCCGGTGGGAAATGAGCTAGCGACTAGCTAGCTCTATAGCGATTTTCTAGCGATTTTTTTTTTCTTATTTTATTTTTTGCAAATGTCTTTAACATCTTTAAAAATTCGATTTTTAGTGTTGAGTCTATTAAAACCATGAAAATGATTGAACTTTAAACATTGCGATTTTGTAGCAATATGTCGCTAGCTACATATCGTAGCTTTGTAGCTAGCTACAAAATATCTACAAATCTATACCTGGTTGATAGCTACATATCAAAAACTTTTAGACAACGGTTTTATTACGATATAAGCTCAGAATTAGGGTTATAAACAATAAGTTAAATGAAATTATGAAATTTATAAGCAATCTTTTTCTAAAAATTAGTTTATGAGAGCAGTTTTAAATTTTGAAAATGACATTTTCTTACATGACAAATTCAGTAAAAAAATATTAACTCGAAATTAAAATTTACCAAAAATTGTGCACCTAAATAAAATGAATGAATTTGTATTAAATTTTCAACTCAAGGTTAGTACTTTGAAAAGTTCTAAACCACAGGTTTCTACAACTATTTAGTTGTAGAAACTTGTTGTAAAATTCATCTTTTAGGATCTTCAACAAAAACTTCCGTAGGTCGGTCCTCCGGAACATTTATTGACTGTAATCGTTTCGGCTGTAGAAATTTATCCATGGTAATTTTTAAAAATTTTTATAACATTGAAACAAATCATTTACGCCAATAAAATTTACAGCAGGTCGCATTTTACGCCGATAAAAAGTTTTATAACATTGACCCCTGGTCATAAGATTAGAGCCAAATCATTCTTTTAGTTTTTTACAGATTATAAAGCCATAACCCTAGTGAAGCAAAATATTATATTACTGAAAAATGCACAATATACTGCACAATATACTGTTATAACATTTTAGTACTAAAATGAGTATCAAAATATTGATAATGAAAATATTGATAATGAAAATATATATATATATATATATATATATATATATATATATATATATGTATATATATATATATATATGTATATATATATATATATATATATATATATATATATATATATATATATATATATATATATATATATATATATATATATATATATATATATATATATATATATATATATATATATTTGTTTAGTGGGTAGATACTAGATGTTTTAAACCCATTTACAGCGAACTATTGTATGT